CCGTCTCTTAAATTGACTTGCATTTCTCCTTATAACCAGAGAATTATGCACAGCAGTGTAGCAGATTATGTGTGACATCTACGTCAGAAGACTGACTCGCTGCTACAGGGCCACAGCAATAGAAGAATTGTTCTTTTCAACGATAGATAGTAGTTACCCGTGCATGTTCCAAATTAGGCTAGCCTGTGCAATCTCCGGCGAAGCGATAGAAGCGGTTCTGTGGACAGATATGAACGTCTATCGGAGTCGGTTCTTTCTCTACTCGTATCGGCGCGAGCAAATGAACTCTCGCCGGTGCGCGCGTACACGCACGAGCGATCTGCATACAGAGGCAGTCGGTCGGGAAAATCTGTACGGAGGTTCTCCGCGGACCAAACTTTTTCCGCTTGCGGAACAGAGGCCCCGCGAACGTCGCGCGCTGCGCCGTGCGGAAAAGAGCCACGCCCGGAGAGATTCTTTGCGAAACGGAAAACGAACGGGACGGACGATTTGTCAAATTGATTCGTCCGGCGAAACGCGCGGAATTTTAAGCTTGCCGGTACCCGGAACAGAACAGGGAACTCGGCTCTCCCGAGTGGACCATTAGGAATTTACTTGGAGAACGGGCCGCAATGGAACTCGCGTGCGCGCACCGCATTTGAAGGACGCGGGTTTAAAAGCAACTGCCAGATCGGTTTAGAGAGCCTTTTTCTCTCCTTTCCCGGGGAGTTATGTTATTAATTAAAATCACTCCTTTGTAGGGGGCCCGAAGTCGGCTGTCAAGCCTGGAGTCGGCTGTCAAGCCCGTTCCGCCGTCGCGGAGAGAAGCCGTTTGATGTGATCGTGGAACTGTTTGAGGAAACGTTTCCGCTGCTTTCCCCGTTCCTTTTTATGCGGTGTGTTCGATACTTTTTGTTCAATTTTGCAGCCGATAGTTTTTAATGCGCGGTTTAGAGAATTAATATTGATTTTTGTTTCGTAAAACGTCTCTGGATGTTTTCGTGAGAGTGCGATGAAGTTACCGGATGCTACGATTGCTTCTTCTTATCGACTATTAATTTTAAATAAAATGTTTTAGCGTAGAATAGGACAGAATCGTAGAAAGCAGTGAACATTAACATAGTTAGTCGAGAATGATAATGACTAGTCTGCGGATCTTTGTGCAAAATAAAACTTGCCTAATTGTCTCAACGATAAGAAGCAGAAATGAGATAAAAATGTGTTTCCTCTTTTAATCATTTGAATAAGTCAGAAATAAAATAAGAATATTCAATAATTCATGTAATGTTCTAATAGCTTCGTATTTCACTTATCTAATTTTGGCGTAAATGCATGTAATCCGTAATTTAATAATAACGCTCCAACAAATTGATTTTTGCAAACACATGCAGAATGATGTTTCTTATTCCCTATTCGATGGATGATTTTTTAAGCAAATTGCTTATTACACCAGTATTAAGTATATGCAAGTTTCGTACAAAACACCTGCTGTACTTGTAGTTATAGTTACTCCTAAGGTTTATCATTATTAAGTCCTTCGTACCGTGTATACATGTACCTACAACAATGTAATGTTGTCATGCACGGTAATGTGCATGTCGCTAATAACCCTTCATAAGGTTTCATAACATAATAAAACAAAAGTATAGAAGTGAATATACAGCTCCTATTAAACAGCTCCTGTAAACTCACGAGAACAACTTTTTATACCATAGTATCTATACACTTACAAAGACACAATGCGCAGAGAAATGTTGATCGTTTCATCGAAATTTATAATTTATAATCTTCACTTAAAAAATCGATGTCTATCCTGTCACAGCTCAGTAAACAAAATCTTGTTACAGAATCTAAAAAAAAATTGTTACAATGAGCATCCGGGACAAAAATCATAACTTTTAAACTAATCAATTTTCTGCCAAAATGCTTTAATAATTTCTCAAAGAAAATACAAAGACGCATCGATCTGTATAAAGAAAATTATATGATTTCATTAAAAAATTCTTATTTATTTTTTATTGAATAATCAAATCTCTTACGTTTCCATAAGTGACTGCAACATATTTTGTTAAATGACTCTGAAGACTGCAACTTTTCGCAAAAAATGTTTTTATAGTATCAAAATGTACTATCTGACGAATATGTCGGGATAAGGATCCCAGAAAATTTTGAGTCCTTTTTTTAAATCTTATTTAAAGTGTATGAAAATGAATCGAGTTTAATTATTTTATTTCTTCTTAATTATTATATTGCATTATATGCATATAGCATATCAAAATTGCTATATATTAATTACAATCATATAACCGTTGGCCATCATTTTCTATGAAGATTACATTGTAAAATGGCCTTCAGTTCACAAAGCAATGTAAACTAGCTGTGGTGTGAACTAACGTGCTATTTAATTCTCCTAATATTTGCTCGGCGAACTCACTTGGAATTATTCTCCTGCTCAATTTTTTGAACATTCTGCTTCTAATTACGATTACATAGACATTTTAACACATCGTAGACTTAGTTTTGAATAGATACGAAGCAATGACTTTGTTGAATTTTGCGTACTGACGGCCGCATTGTGCGTCTGTTCAACAATGAACGTGCCAACACAATTAGCGAAGATAAACGCAATAATATTCGGTGAACTAATTTGCGAGCTGCCATGATTCCGCGAATAAGATTTGAATCCTGACAACAGGTCGCAACAAATAAATTCTGATTGATTCTCCGGCGAGATGCACCGCTGCATCTACGATAACTTAATGTCGTAAGCTAGTTCGACTGTAACTTTGTGGAGGAACGTTGTAACGCCAGAGTTGTGTAACGAACTTTGGCGAACAAACAACTTTAAGTTTGCGTAGCAGCGGCGCTGTGTACGTGCGGCGGTACGTGTACGTGTAATTCCCGACACCTATCAGGCGCAATCGCTATTCTCATTTCCCATTAATCAAATTATTACAGAATTTATTAGGCCGGCCAAAAAGTTCGCGCGGTTCTTGGCAAAGGCGCGTCTTTTCATTCATCCGTCAAAGAACCGCACGAAGTTTTTGGCCGACCTGATATTATTAACAAGCTCGGGCATCGAAATTGCTTCTAAATGTTACTCAAACTCCAGTAGGGTAACTTTGTTACTAACAATGTATGACGCGGAGTCCCGATTGAGTTATGACACGTAATTTTCGTGTACTATCCCCAGTCAATTTGACTAGCAAGCAAACGTTGGCCTTTCGTGACAGTTTTCATTAAAGAGGCTAAATAAGATTCGTTATGAACGTCACGAGCGAAATGTGATTTAATTTTAATAGATTGATATCATTAAAACCTTATCATTGAAAATATAATAAGCGCGGTATGCTACACGTTCTCGCATAATTAAATGCCAATTCTGCCGGAATTTTGCTACACGAAATACACAGGAGCGAATATAAACGAAGCTAATGAATTACGGGGGAAGAGCTTCGAATGCAATTTATTCGCACGAACTTCAATCCAATTAATTATTATTATTTCTATAATGCTAATTAATTTTTAATATTAATTTTATCTTCGACGAAAATCAAGTTAGACAATTTTTATTTTCCATAAGAAGTTCACCAAACTACTTTTATGCAACTTCTCATTTTCAAAGGTTGTTTTTTAAACATTAAATTGAGTGAGAAATCTCTCGTTGTTAAAAAAATTCATTACAGAAAAATCGGAC